CAGAAGAACTGGATGGTGTCTGGCTACCATTACTGAACATTTTGATCGAAGATTCCATAGAAGAATCCTGATCAAAAGGAGAAAATGGAGAAAATAATTTCAAATTCTCATGAACTCTAGACTTTCAGGAGCCATGGAGGCTGGATGAACCCCCAAAACTATTGTCCTGAGATAATCTTTAAGCCTTAAACCAAAAATATCCCCTGAAGTCTTCTTAAAAATTTAGTTTAGCTTGTAAAGAAGGTCTACCATGAGCATTGTGCTCTTTTAAAAACTATTTATATGGGATCAAATTGATAACAGCAGCCTGAAGTGTTAGATAGGAAACTTGGGGAGCATTGTGTTTATATTAACCTCAGAAAAGGAGGGTGAAAATGGTTTAACAACTAGAAGAATGCAATCAGTGTTGCTGAACTGTACATGTAGAAACTGTTGAACTGGTGTATGTTTTGCTGTGTACATTCTCAATAACAACAACAAAAATAAATAAATTATGAAAAACAAAATGAACAAAAACAACAGCCATCCATGTGATTCTGATGCACACTTAAATTGCAGAACCATTGCACTGGAGAGTCTCGTCCTGATACATGAGCTCTTGAGCCCAAGGCTTGAAGGATGAGCTGGATTTTAATAAGCATGAGGATGGGAGAGACATTTCTGACACAGGAAACAGCAGCAGCTTGTGGAAAGGCATGAAACGCATGACAGAAACGTTTTGGGAAACTTTGAGAAGTTTGTTGTACTATGAGTATAAGAAAGAATTTTCTAGATGAGAGGAATGTGGTAGAAGATAAATTGGGCATGATTGTGAAGGAACTTGTATGCTAGGTAAAAAAATTTGGATTTTATCCTCCAGATATTGGAGACTCATAAGAAGGATTTAAGCAAAGGAGTAATACAGTCAAATTTGGGCCTTAGAGAGAGCACTCCAGAGATACTAAAGTAAATGGAAAGGAGTGAGGAGAGACCAAAGGCCAGGAAGGCAGCCAGAAATCCTGACAGGAGATGATAAGGGCCTGAAATAAGGCAGAGACCATGAGGACAGATTTAGAGGACGAATCTAACAGGAGTTAGTGACCAACTGAATGCTTCTTACTTCCCATTCTCGCTTCTCCCCCCTACTACTTTCCATCTTTCACCTGGGCTCCCCCAATAGCTTCCCAGTGGTCTCAGCCTGTATTCCTCCTTCTGTAATAGGTCCCATACACTAGAACCGGGTTAGTCATGTTCTCATTGGTTCTCCATTTCTTACAAGGGAAATCCAACTACTCAACTACATCTTACCCACTGCCATCAAATCAGTTCTGACTCATAGTGACCCCAGAGGGTTTCCAAAGCTGTAAATCTCTTTGGAAGCTGACTGTCACATCTTTCTCCCTCGGAGCCACTGGTGTTTTCGAACTGCTGACCTTTCAGTTAGCAGGGGATCGCTTTAACCACTGAGCCTTTTACTCCTGCCCCCAGCCTTACGTTCCATTCAAATTTTCACTGTTCTCAGACATGGACCAGCCATTCAATGATCTTGTTCCTTATCCCACCAATCCCAATCAGACTTATGCTTTACTTCCTCTTAGATACTCTTCTGTCTACCTATCCAAAGCTCACTCATCCCTCTTTTTCCAGGGAGCTTTCCTGACCATGCCATTCTCTCTCCCCAGGACTTTTATCCCACCCACCCAAGCAATTCATTCTGATACTTCTTTCTTCCACTTAAACTTTTCACATGTGTATGTTCTCTTTCTACAGCTGGATCTGAGGCTTCTAGAGAACACCTTTAATTTCTCTTGCTTTTTCTGTAGTCTCTAGCAGGTGGTAAAAATTCACTAAAAATGCACATTGAACAGATGAAGCTTTCTGGGTGAGTAGGAAAAGGGAACTGTCACCTATTGATAACAAATGATTCAAGAGCGAAAGGAAAACAATGCCTACCCTTATGCTTATCTTTTTTGGCTTCATTTTTTTAAAAATATTTTGTTATCTTTTCAGTAAAGGTTTACACAGCAGTTTAGGTTCCCATTCAACAATTTCTACACAAATTGTTCAGTGACATTATTTACATTCTTCAGAATGTGTGAACATACTCAGTATTTCCATTCTGGTTGTTCCATTTCCATTGATCTAGTTTCCCTGTCCCCTCACATTCTCAACTTTGTTTTAAAGTAATTGCTGACCATTTGGTTTCATATGGATGATTTTTTAAAGAAACACAGTACTCATAAGTGGTAGTGTTTATTTTGTGAGCCAGTCTCTTATTTAGCAAAAGGTGACCTCAGGGGCTACGAGTCCTCGAATCTCAACTGGTCCAGTAAATCTGAGTTTTCTTGTTTTTTAGAAATTTGAGGTTCTGTTCCATGTTTTTCTCCCATTCTATCAGGTCCACTAATGTGGGCCTGATCAGAATGGCCAATACTGGTAGCTGGGCACCATCTAGTTCTTCTGGTCTCAGAGTGGATGAAGCTGTTCTTTTTTTTTTTTAACATTAAGGTTGTGTCAGAAATCATGGCTTCAAACACTCACTAAGAAGTCAACTCATTCTGTGATTCCAAATGATGAAAAAAGAAATTGCTTTCTTTAAGCATCTTTCTTAGGCCTTCAACATCATGAGTAAAGCGTCAGCACCGCCTTCAGCTCTGGATGTAGAAATATCAAGCTTGTCCTCTGTAGAGTCAGAGTCTCTAGGGGAGTCCTTAAATGGCACTTCACTAGGTGGCCTTAAAGTCGTATCCATCTTTGAGTTGGTAGTTGGCAAATTAAAATGACTTCTAATTTCTTTTAACTTGTACAAGGCAAAGAAATTCACAGTACTAAATGGATTTTTTGGGGACTATTATCCCTCCTGTGAAGCCCTGGTGGCACAGCGGTTAAGCGCTTTGGCTGCTAACCGAAAGGTCAGCAATTTGAATCTGGTGTAGTAATTACCCTTGTACCTGCTGAGGAGTAGACCAAGGGAGAAGACTGATGGATGAGGGAGAAATTTGTTATGGAAACTCAAAGTCCACAGTGGTATCATTCTCATACGCAAATGTCAGGATATATTCTACCAACTCTTCAGATCATGTAGAATGGTGATCCATGTTACCTTCTAGATAGCTTTCCTAAAAGGAGAGTATCAGAAAAAGATTTCTAGATGGGTTTATGGTAAAAAGAATGGAATAACATTTCCTAACTTCTCTCTCCTGGATTTGAGTCCTTTTCCTAGACTCTAGATCCCAACTGGGGTGAGCTAATGAATCCACTAAGGCCCTGGGCAGCCTGTTATACACAATTCTTGAGCGTCTTCTCTGTTTCCTGCTTACCACCTCTGTAAGCCTTACCTCCTTTTGATATGCCTTCTTAACCTAACACTTGAAGGTCACAATTGGCCATCTCCAAACCCAATAGCCTCTTGTTATTCTTCATCTGCTTCAACCTTGTTTCAGCACTCCATCATTTTCAAAACTTACTACCTTACAGTAACTCAAAACTTACAACTCCTCACTGCTCGGTTCTCTACCTCCAGCCACTTTTTGCTGGCTTCACTTTCTCACCCAGGTCCCTATCCATGAATATTCTCCCAGCTTCTGTCCTTGGCCCTCTGCTGTCTCCCCATAGGCACCCCTAGCCATGTCTACTCCCTCTACTACAACTATTGCCTCTCTGTCAGTGAGTCCTAATTCATCATGAAAGCTCCAAACTTCTCTATGTAGGTGTTCCACTAACCCTCAGGTTCCTCACTTCTGAAGGAAATTCATATTCTCCCTCACCAATTCAGCACCCCCTCAACTCGCTTATTTCTGTCAGTAGCATCACCATTTTCTAAGTCATTTAAACTTAAAACCTCAGAGTCACCTGTAACTCCTCCCTGTCTCCCCTTATGAGTCATCAAGTCCTAATCTCCTTCCCCTGATATTTCCTGCATCTGCTCCCTTCCATTTCTAATAACCCTTCCTAACTCAAACCTGTGTAGTTATTGCTTGAATTTTTAGCTTTCTTCCTGATATTCCTGTCCCCTGTATACACACACACACACACACACACACACAAATTCATCTCATATTCCTAAACAGCACACATACCTCTACCAAATTCATTATTTTAAAGCAAAATACAAACCCATAATCCTGAATTTCAGGGCCTAAAGTACCTTGATAAAGAGCCCTGGTGGCACAGTGGTTAAGCATTTGGCTGCTAACCAGAAGGTCAGAGATTCAAACCCACTAGCGGCTCCATGGGAGAAAGATGGGGCATTCTGCTTCCGTAAAGCTTGTAGCCTTGGAAACCCTATGGGAAAGTTCCCGTCTGTCCTGCAGGGTCACTGTGAGTCAGAATTGACTGGGCGGCAGTAAGTTTAAAGTACCTTGCTGGGACCATGTCCGCCCCTCCACCTGCGCGTTACACTCCAACTACCTTAGCGTCTTGCCTTGTGCGGTGAAGCCTCCATTCTGCCCTCCTGCGTGGCCCAGTTGGCATACAAAATTCTACACTGTATGAGAACAAGGACTGGAGTTTGTTTCATCTCTTTATCCTCTACAGAGATCACTACAGACAGTACTTTGAAACCTACATTTGTTGAATGAATTAATCACAAACCCAAAGAGGTCCCGAGGTGAGAGAAGCGGGTTGGCACCAAGCCCTGTAGGGTTGTCAGCCTGGGTTCCTTTGCCCACTGCAGCTGCAGATTGGAGGGAGCCCCCACCAAACCTGTCCAGTATAGACTCCCAGCCTGCCCCTCCCCTGCCTCTTCCAAGACTGAGTAGAGTGTGGGCCCGCTGTCTGTACCCTGCTGAGGAGGATTACATACTGCTCCATGACTTTAGGACACTTACACTGGAACTGAAGTCTTTGGCTTGGAATAGGAGCTTGGTAATAGCCTAATTGGTGACTCTGGAATCTAGCATATTCATAAGTTATTCTTAAGAATGTTACAGTCTTTCAATGATAAGACAGGAAAAGGAGGATGTCCTGTTGAAGCTGTTTGTAGTCTCGCTCAGGATCATGGAACCCATTGCTTTTTGTAGGCACTGGGACACTGCATCAGCTGCTCTGTCTAAGAAATGGGAGGCCCCCTGCCTGGGCCAGCTGCTGCTGCAGGAGGCTGACCTGTCGGCCCTCCGGCTCTTGGAAGCCCTGCTTCAGACTGGGCCCTACCTGCTGCTTCAAACATATGTTTTTCTAGCCTCTGACTTCACAGATATTGTGCCAGGTGAGTAGCTTTCACCATGGAGCCCAGACAGAGCAACTTCCCAAGCGGGACAGAAACACATTCCTTATTCAGAAAAATCCCAATCTAAGATTCTCCCTGCTTGGCAGAATTAGGGGTGTCCCTGGGTGGTGCAGATGATTAAGCACTTGACTATTAGCTGAAGGTTTGTGGTTGGAACCCACCCAGAGGTGCCTCGGAACACAGGCCTAGCAAGCTGCTTCCAAAAGGTCACAGCCTTGAAAACTCTGTAGAGCAGTTCTAGTCTGCACACATGGAGTTACTGTGAGTCAGAATCAACTTGACAACTGATAACAACAATAAACAGCTTACTAGCACACTGTGATGTTTACAGTGGGCTTTTGTTTGGGGAGTTTAGCTCACAAAGAGTTGCTTCTTTCATGGAGTTTAGGTTCTGAAGTTTGTCCACAGGATAGAAAGTGTATATAGCTGGAATTACCCTTGCAAATACCTTGGGAAGTTGTCATCCCGCTGCAGTTTTTCCTGTATCTTTACACTAGACTAACAACTCAGCTGGAGGCTTACACCCCGAGAGCCATGTGGAAACTGAAAAGAACTCGGGCCCTGAAAATGTTTCCAGCTCTCACTCATTCTTGTTCTCTTTTCCTCAATTGCTTCTTGCTTCTCTTCTCTTCTCTTCTCTTCTCTTCTCTTCTCTTCTCTTCTCTTCTCTTCTCTTCTCTTCTCTTCTCTACCCCTGCACTCCCCTTCCTTCCTTTCTCCTCCCCTCCCTTCCCTTGTTCTCACTTCCCCTCCCCTCCTTATCTCTTCTGTTCTCTTCTCTGTTTGCTGAGTGTCCACATTTGTATTTGCATAGGTTTAAAGCTTAAAAGGTGTGACTTTCCTGCACCTCCATCCATCTTTATCAAAGCACCAAATACAATTTGATAGTCTGGTTTTATTTCTTTTATTCAGCCTCCTTCATATGGATTGAACAATAAGGTGTATTTGGGATATAATACAGTCTTGGTTATCTAGTGCTGCTATAATAGAAATACCACGAGTGGATGGCTTTAACAAAGAGAAATTTCTCTCACAGTTTAGAAGGCTAGAAGTCCCAATTCAGGGTGCCAGCACCATGGGAAGGCTTTCCCTCTCTGTCAGCTCTGGGGGAGGGTCCTTGTCATCAGTCTTCTCCTGGATCTAGGAGTTTCTCAGCACAGGGACCTCAGGTCCAAAGGATGTACTCTGCTCCTGGCTCTTCTTGCTTGGTGGTAATGAGGTCCCCCTCCCTCTGCACATTTCTGTCTTTTATGTCTCAAAACAGATTGACTCAACATAACCTAATCCTGTAGATTGTGTCCTGCCTCATTAAATAACAGACGGCTCACTCCCAAATAGGATCATAACCACAGGCATAGAGGCTAGAATTTACAACACAGAGGATAATCACATCAGATTACAAAATGGAAGACAACCACACAATACTGGGAATCTTGACACATAATATGGGAGGACATAGTTCAATCCATGACATTCTACTGAGAATTCATGTCTTTGCCACATGTAAAACACTTTCACCCCATCATATGGTCCCAAGAGTCTTAAATCAACTCCAAGTCCAAATTCCATCCTGGGGCAAAATTCCTCTTCATACAAGTTATCTGCTTCCAAAGTACAATGGTGGAATAGGCACAAAGTAGACATTTCAATTACAAATGGGAGAAATTGGAGGAAAAGAAGGAATAATGGGCACCAAGCAAGTCAAAAACCCAGCAGAACAATTTACATTAGCTCTCAAGCCTTGAAAATAATCCTCTGTTCTCTGATACCATCTAGGCAATGTCCCTGCCCTCCATAGAAAGGAAGTGCCTTTGTTGGGGAAGAGCATCTACTACGTTATGCAGTAGTCCCCATTTCTTTCTGTATATACACGTGTATTGTACATAGAATTTTTATGTTTCCACAGGTGAATGTGCTTGGTTAGGGACACTCCATGTGAAGTCAGGTTTAATAAGGAATTAGATGTCCCACAAAAGAAATTTCATAAATGAATCTTCATGTGGTGCTGTTGATTTGAAACATTAAGAGAATACTGTTGTCTGTCTACTTCACTTCCAGGTGTAAGTGCTCTGCTCTCCTGGTCCTCACTGTCTTGGGCCCTGGTGTCCTATGCTCGTTTCATGGGCTTCCTGAAGCCAGGACACCTCTCCATGCCATGGGCTGCCCTCTTCTGCCAGCAACTCTGGAGGATGGGCATGTTGGGAACTCGCGTCCTGAGTCTGGTTCTGTTTTACAAAGCTTACAACGTTTGGGTTTTGGTAGTTGGAGGTAAGCCAAGCTTATGTTCTGGTTACTTATCGCTGTATAAAAAAGCACCCCAAAATTTAAGGACTTAAAATAACCATATATGATCTCCCTAGTTCTGGGGCTGACCAGACTTAGCAGAGTGGTTTTCACTTGGAGTACCTCATGTGGTTGCAGCAGGATAGCGGGGGTCTGGATTCATAGGGAAGCTCGACTGGGCTGGACATAAAAGAAGCCTTCTTCACTCATATGTACGACACATCAGTGGCCTTTCTCTTCAGCAAAGTGGCCTGGACTTCATACATGGGAGCTGAAGACTCCAAGGGAAATTAAGTGGAAACTGCCAATCCTCTTAAAAGATAGGTCCAGAACTTGCACAGCATCGCTTCTACCATATTCTGCTGGTCAAAGCAGTCACTGGCCAGCCCAGATTCATGAGGAAGGAGCAATAGACTGCAGCTCGCCATGAGTGTACAGAGAGGGAAGGAATTCATCGTGTCTGTCTTTGGAGATAAGATTCCAGAGCTTAGCTGTCCAGCCCTCAGAAGTCCCAGCTAAGTCTAGAGTATAGCTGTGGTTGCTGTAAGGACTCCTCAGTACAGGGCCAAGTTTTCTGTATAATGGACTGAAATCTTCTCTTTAGAAAAACTGTCACCCGAACAGGAGGGAAGTCTAAGGTCCCACTTGCCCTGACCCAAAGCAAAAATATACAGTAGATACTGTGATATCGCTCATAGTCTACAAAAGTTCACCATTTCGTTTAAATGCAGACTGTATGACACCCTCTCTGTTTCCAACAGAACATCTTCAGTGAACCAAAACCCTCCCTCTGCCCTCAGCTTGGCAGCACACAGACATGAATGGTGGCGACAGAGTCAGCCTGACTGTGCAGGACAACTGAATGGAGCCTGTGGGCCTTTGCCAAGGAGGGCACTCTTTTTGGTCAGCAGGGAATGCACTCCACAGAAGGAACAGTGTACTCCTGTTTTAAGAGAACTGGAGAAGTTGAGAAATATTTAAACCTTAGGCCTAGTGTAAACGTTAATGCATTTCTTGGCAGAAAAGAGAATTTTTGAAAGAAAGTGTGCTTCTAAAGCAAAATTACCTATTTTGTTGTTGTTGTTGATTCTTTTTTTTAAATTCAGCCTTAACTCCAGTATGATATTATCTGTCTTAAAATACAGGAATAAAAATTGTAGCACAGATTTTGGAGTCAGACAAGGTTGCATTAGAACGCCTGCTCTGCCAATCACGTAGAGTTCTTTCCTTCCAGTGACGTTTTTAACTCTTGTAGTTACAACTGAAGAGTAGAAAAATCAGCTGCATAACTACCTCCTTAAACATTGTTAAAGGGGATAAGTAGATAATAATTGGTAAGTGTTCTTGAAGCGAGTCTTTGTTTTCTCATCTAAATTAGGTAGAAGACCCTTCATGAGGATCAAATGAGATAATATATTGTAAAGACAAAATGTGTTGGTTTTCTAGGGCCCTCAGATCTCTCCTGGGTTTCAGTCTCTCTTCTTGGTCAGGATTCTGAGTTGGGGTGGTCAGAGCAGAGAGGACTGTGTCAGGAAGCTCTGGTGTCTGTCTCCTTGCCTGGCTCGCCCTTCTGGGTCTCCTCGCAGGGACCCTCACTTCCGCTGGCCTGGCCTCTTCCCAGGTGCCCACTGGCTGATGATGACGTTCTGGCTCGTGGCGCAGCAGAGTGACATCGTCGACAGCACCTGCCACTGGAGGCTGTTCAACCTGCTCGTTGGGGCTGTGTACATCTTCTGCTACCTTAACTTCTGGGACAGCCCTTCCAGAAATAGGATGGTCACATTCTACATGGCAAGTGACTATGAGGGCTTTTTTTAAGTTAACTTTTAATGTACCTGTTGTGTGCATGTGTGTGTGTACACTTGTGCATGCATATCCATTTAAAAAGGAATAGCTTAGTTTTAGGGAAAATTCTAAAAGGAATTATCATCTTGAACAGAGATGACAGGCTCTGAAAACAGTAAGCTGACATCCAGTTGTTACTTAGTCATTGTGGTAATAACTTTAGCATATTTGATGTTTTTTTTTTAGCCACTCTACACCAGACCATCTGATAAATATAATTCAACTATATATTACATCATATACACAATGTCCATGTTAACTCAGTATTTTAAGTATTACTGAGTTTAAGGCATTGTCCTAGATAGTATAAAAAACACAAAGATGACATAATGTCTGTCTTCAGGTTGCTTCTAGTCCACTTGGGGAGATAAACTCTGCACCCAAATAACCAAAACACAAGGCAGAACCTGGGTAGATGCTAGGAGAGAGAAAATGTTTGGAGCTCAAAAGAGCACCTGTCTGCATCACTTCCTGTTGGGATGATCAGAGACACTTGACTGGAAAGAGGAATTTGAGCTGGACCTCAAAGGGCAAAGGAGAGAAGATAGAGCCATGGGGTTAAGAGAAGATTTTGGAGTCAGACAAGGTTGCATTAGGACCCCTGTTTTGCCAATTACTAACCATGAGACCTAGGCCAGGAATTTAAACTCTCTGAGCCAGTTTTTTCATCAGTACCTTAGGAATAAAAAAAACAAAAACCAAACCTGTTGCCATTGAGTTGATTCCGACTCATAGCGACCCTATAGGACAGAGTAGAACTGCCTGATAGTGTCGCAGCAGCGACGGTTGTCGGGGCGGCGGAGATAGTGACCAATGCCACAACTCTTACAAAGAAGTGGGGCCAAGGAGGGTCACTCTGAGGAGTCGACCCCGGCTTCAGTCCCAGGAGTTTATCTTATAGTCAATACAGCAAGCAGTGAAGCAAATAACAGAACAATGGGCTTTGGGTGAATAACAATAAGTTTCG